CCAGTTTGATCATGCCGTTAGATTTTGTCAGATCCATCAAAGGAAATTGGTTCGTTTAAAAACGTTTATTCAACTTTCAGGATGATGAATAAGTTGAATAGGTAATAAGGGATGAGGCAGTCGAGTCCTCGGCACACGAACGGGTCTTGTTGTATAGACAGCATCAAGGTTAGATAACATTAGATTTCACTGTCTGACTTAACTAAATCCTACTACTACCCGTGTTGCGGAAGGCGAGATTTTGGATTTTTTTTCGGTTGAGTTCCCGCCCCTGGGGGGGGGCTATAGTGTTAAGATAGCTGAGTTTATATACTTCCATTCAGTTGGTTAAAATGAGAATGTGCTTAATCTGTTTGGGCTAAGTGAAGTTGTTTGCGCAGCCGTTTGGTGGGCAATTGGTTTGCATTCCAGTTATGATGTCCCAGATTTCATCTTAAAAAAGAAAAGAAAACTACTTTACTTCCCGGTTATCTTTTTGTTTTAAGCCGAACGTTAATTCAGCTGATCTTTTCCCTCGGAATAAGTGGTGCAGGAGGCCAAATTTTCGTAAATAATACTCATCCCTATGCGACGGAAATGTTTGTGATAATCGATAAAGAGCACTGGACAGCTGTTTCGTCCTGTTTGGGATTCGTCAGCAGTGCGTACTTTTTGTGTCCCTGTCAGAATTCGAACCATGAACATTCGGGTCGGGACCTCAAACCCTTACCTCTGAACTGCACAGTCGACAGTTATTACCTTGTGCGAATGGCTTAATCAATTTAGAATATCAAACTTTGATCAGCCCATTCCATATTGCAGAGGCACCAGGCACGCTTGATGATCTTGGGTATGGGTTTCACTCCTTGGGAGATCGTTAATTCCCCACGAGGTAAATGCATTCAAATGCAATGGAAAAGTGCCTGGTGCCCCTGAAAAGTCGAACGGTCTTATCCAAGTTTGCTATTCTAAATGCCCTTTCCTGTTCATTCTACGTCTCGATAAAAGTCCTTTACTGTTGAGTATTTCAATCCAAGGATTCAATAATTTTCTTGTATATACATAAGTAACCTCTGTATGATCCCTTTCATGAAGTTTATGCGAAGTAACTACTCCCGTGGGCTGTTTAACGTCAATATTGCGCCCATATAGTTTTTTTGTGTTTTCCTCTATCCAACCACCATTTTACACTTAACCACAGAATTCACAACAAAAGTGTTTATTTGAAAATGGGTCTACGCAAAATGGTGAATCGGACAAAATGCAAAGATTTACACCAGAACGTGTCAATTGAAGTGGACGGGAAACAGTTGGATTTGCCTCCTCTGGAAGGAATAATTATATTGAATATACTTTCCTGGGGTGCCGGTGCTAATCCATGGGGTGTGGAAAAGGACGACGCATTCTCTGTGCCCACACACTATGATGGTCAACTGGAAGTGGTCGGTGTGACCGGGGTGGTCCATATGGGTCAGATATTTTCCGGTTTACGTACCGGGACTCGACTGGCTCAAGGCGGTCATGTAAGTTTATCCCGTCTCCGGTAGCGCAAGTTTTTGCCCCATTCCCAGTCACAATTGCAGGCCCAACACACTAGGAGAACCTCACATGTACCTCCTGATTGTCCACAATCGGGGACGAGAGGATTGCATCAAATAAAACTCTTGATCACTTTGCAACCATTAATAGTTTAGTAAACGAAGATAAATCGAGTTCACTTGTCCGTACGTTTGATGGTAATTAACTGACCTCAATCAACGTTTACTATCCATCATCTATCTGTCTGTCTATCTATTTCGTGTTACTGATTGATTGAGTTTGCACTCAAAATGGCTCACTGGATTTTATCTGAAGCATGTGGTATTTTATAGACAAATGGCAGTACATTGTGCTTACATAATGATTAGACCATTCTGATTATGGGAGTAAGGGCGGAGGGGGGGGGTTTACAGTCACCTTTTGCATTGATTTTTGAACTTAGTTCGTGATAAGTGCGCTTTGTTTCCTTTATATAGAGTAAGTACCACCGATATTTCCCGGTTATTAATTAAGACGTTTCATCAGTAGTGGTTTGAGTGCCCTTAACTATAAAATGAAATTCGTTGGCCAAATTTGTTTCATTTTTCCCTGTTCCAATTGCAATTCGGACCTCACAGGCAGGAGGCAAGTGTGCTACTCACTCGACCACCGGTGGACAGCTGATCAGACCGTTTTTCATTTTCCACTTACACGATATAGCTCAACCCATCTTTGCGAGCTTGTTTCAGGACGCAGACCTCGCTCATCTCAGTTCTAGCTTCTGGGATTATGACTCGGTTGGAAACAATCACAACCTGACGACTTATTTCACATGAGTAATTAGGGATGTGATTTAATTTTAAAGTGAAAATTCGTTGTGTATTTGGCAAATGAATTTCCACTTTGAGATTGAATCAAATCCTCCATTACTCACATGAAATAAGTAGTTATTTTGTCGAAAACCCAAGCGTTCTCTTCTTCCCTCAACCATCCACAGTAGTGATCCAATGGGACAGCGTAACTACCTACATCACGCACCTGGTTACATGCTTTAGATGGGCAATGCATGGTAGATCAATAACTATAGTTCCTATTTTGTCAGCTCGCATAGGTTTGGTTAAATATCGCCTCGGGGATTGTGAACTGTGGAGATGATAGATGTTTCCGTTATCTACACACCGCACCGTATCGGAAACAGATGGTTGATGATTGAATAAGTTTGCGATTCTGTTGTAGTTTGATGCCGGGAGTATGGGGAGAACGAGAACGAGATGGAGAAACAAGCACCACGTCTCAATTTTGTGTTGTTGTGTGTCGTG